CCGCCCCCGAGGGCGCCGGGCGCGGCGGGAGGATGCCGAAGCCGACGCTGCTGCTGCGCGGGGGCTGGGAGCGCGAGCGCAGCCCCGGGGACTCGGAGCTGGGCCGCCAGTTCCGGGACTGGTGCCTGCGCACCTACGGCGACTCGGCCAAAACCAAGACGGTGACACGCAGCAAATACCAGCGGATCGCCGAGGTCCTGCAGGGCGGCGGCGGGACCGGCGCGGGCAGCGGCCCGGCGGCCGGCGAGAAAGGCAAGTTCCAGTTCTGGGTGCGCTCCAAGGGCTTCCGCCTGGGCAGCGGCCGGGAACCCAAGATGGGCCAAGTGGTGTATGTGCCGGTCAAGACGGGCTCGGTGAGTGCGCGCGCGGCGGCCGCGGGCCGGTCCCGCCGCGGGGCTCGGGGCGGGCGGGGGCGGGGTGGGGGTGTGGATGTGTGTCCGAACGTGTGTCCCTGAGGTTGTCCGTGGGTCTGGCCCGCCCGAGGCGCACGCGTCTCTGCTCACCCGCCCGCCCCGGCCCGCCCGGGCAGCGCTCCGGGTTTGGGGCGTCCCTGCCCCCCTCTGCGCCGCTGCCCGGGCCGTGGTCGTGCCGGGCGGGCTGTCCCGGGCTGCTCACCCCAGCATGTTCCGTCCTCCCGTCCCCTCCCCCAGCCAGCAGGCGGCTGCTCCGAAGCCTGAGCCTCCCCCCCACCCCGCCCGCCCCGGGGCTGCCTGTCCCGGGCGCCTCGCGCTCCCGCCCCCGGGCCGGCTGGGCGGTGTGTGTGTCTGTGTGGAGGGTGGTGCCGCGGGAGGGGGGGCAGGGGCAGCCACGGGACGGGGAGTCCACTGGGCTTCCCAGCGCCAGGGGAGGGGGCCCGCCCGGGCACTGTCTCCCCGACCCCACCCGGGGCTGGCCCGGGGAGGGGCAGCCGGAGCCGCAGCCTGGCGCAGGAGCAGCCTCCCGCGGGTGGGTGGGGCGCCCCCTCCGCCCCCCTGGCCCCTAGCTCCCCCCGCCCCGGGACGGGGGCGGCCTGACCTATCCATCCCCTCCCCGCCCCCGTCCCCGGGGCCGGCGCGGTCCGGGCGGGGTGGCGTGGGGGAGGGGGCGGGGAACCGCAGCCGCCGAGAGGGAGGAGGCGGGCGGCCGGGCGAGGGCGTCCCCTCCGGCCCGGGGCGCCCTGGAGAGGGCGTGCGGCGCGGGCCCCGCGGCTCCCCCGCCGGGACCTCATTGTTCTGCAGCGGGTGGGGGCTGGGGGGGCGGCTGCTCCCGGGGCGCTGCTGAGCTTTGAACTTTCCGTCGCAGAGACCCTCCATTAGTGCGTTCAGCCCCCGGCCCGGCCGGGCCGGGCCGGCGTCTCTCCCTGCCCCCCTCGCTCCCTCCCCGGCCTCGCCCGGCCCGAGCGAGCGAGCGGGGCCGCCCCGCGCCGGCCTCCCTCCCTCCCTCGCTCCCCCGCTCCCCCCTCCGTGCTCCTCCCCCGTCCGGCCCGCCCGCCCCGCGCTCAGCCCCGTCCCCGGCCGGAGCGGGCTCTTCACACACAATTGATTCGGTCGTTACGAAAAGTGCACTTGTCCCCTCCCCCTCCCCCTCCGGCGGCCGCCCGGGCCCGGCCCGCGGGGTGAGGGGGCCGCCGGGGAGGGAGGCGGGAGCCAGGGAGCGGATCCGGAGGCGCCTCCCCCCGCGCCCAGGGGACGGGGCTGCAGGCCGCGGGGAGTGGGGAGCCGCGAGCGCGGAGGGCGGGCGGCCCATCTGCGAGGAGCGCTGATAACCGCGCCGCTGCCGCTGCGGCCGCCAGCAGCCCATCTGCGCCGCTGCCGCCTCCGGCCGGACCGAAGCAGGGGGCCGGGCGGAGGGGCGCGCTGGGGCCGCATTCCCGGAGGGGGCGCCGGGGCAGGGTTCCACCCGCGCCTCGATCAGTGCTCTCCTCCGAACCCCGGGAGCCTGGGTCATTGTCCCCTCCCCCGATCGAGTCAGGGACCCCTCCCCCAGCCTAAATCAGTGCCCACTTTCCCACACGGGGAGTACGGGTCATTGCCTCTCCCCTGCCTAGGTGTGCCCTCCCCACCTTGCCAGTCCGGGACCTTGTTCGGTTCTCCCCCATCTTGGACTAGTGTCCGCGGTGGAAGTGTGGTTTTTCGAGGTCAGTGACCCACCAGATGTTTGGCTGGGTTTGTGCCCCTTACCCCAGGTCAGTGCTCTCAGCCATCCAGGCTTCCCAGGTCAGTTAGTACCCCCCACTCCCACCCCATCCTGGTTGTCCCTCCCCAGGGAGCTGGGGGTCTTGACCCAACCACCTTCTTAGACTGAGATGGGAGCCCCCACTCCACCCATTCCTGGAGTTCGGGGGCAGGTGACCCTCAGACATGGCAGCTGGTTTACTGGTTATCTGTGTGGGTTGATTTATCCCCCAGGGGTGGGCATCATGGGGCAGTCCCCCTTCCCCTGAGCCACACAGCTGTCAGGGCGGAGCAAGCGCACACGTCCATCCAGGCCACATGCAGAATGGGTGCCCGGCCTGGGCTCCAGGTCCTGCCAGCCCAGCCGGGTTCTTCAGACCTTTCCTGAGGCCCATGCTGACCTGCCTTGCCTGTCAGCAGGGGCCTCACCAGCCTCCACCCTGGCTCTCAGGCTAATAATAAGCCCTTCCCAAGGGACCACCTGCCTGGGAGGCAGAGAAGGGGGACCCAGGCCTCCCTGCCCAGGCTGCCAGGAGGACAACAAACACAACAGACGTGCCCTCCTGCGACAGCCCGCCCCTCGAGCTCCCCACACCCGCCTGCCTGGCCTGCTGGTCCCCAGAGAGCCCGTTAGTTACCTGCCACTCGCCCAGCCAACCGGAGCCAGCCGCGGGAGATGCCCCTAGTCCTGCCACCCCCATCTGCACACACATTCCTGGGACTCAGTTATTATTTTTACATTTCCATTTTCCTTTCACTGATCTAAGAGGAACAATTCCTGCTGGGAATTCTGGGGCAGCCGTGGCATCTTCCTGGGAGGGGCTGAATGGGACCTCCTTTGAAAGGTGCAAAGCACGTCCCCTACCTTTACTGGCCTACACACACACAGACACACACAGACACACACACATGCACACAATTAAAGTTATCTTTGCGTCTGGTGGCAGTTGGGAGAGATCCCATAGTTTTGTCCTGGGTGGGTTTTCGTGAAGGTCATTGGGCCATAAACCTTTGTCCGACGCATTTATTTAGCACCCACATGCTTTGTGGAGACGCTGGGGCATTGGGGTGGGTGGGACTCTGTGCCTGCTCCTTGGGGCACCCAGCTGTTAGGGGAGGTGGGCATAGCTGAGGATATGATCTGGAAGCCCATGGAGGCTCCAAGGGAAGGCAGGCAGGCAGAACGACTTTGGGGAAGAGGGTCTGTGGGAGTTGGGTCATCCAGCAGCCGAACAAAGGTCCCCGCGTGGGCTCAGGTCCCAAGGGTGGCCGTGGTGTGTCATTTCTCATGGTTCCATGTTGCTCTCCGGCTGGCCCCTCTCTGGGCCCCCTTTCCTCCTCCCACAGCCATATGCGGGGCTGTGGTCGGGGCCCTTCCCAGGTCCTGGCCGGCCGCGGGTCGATGATCTGACACCACTTGTCCCGTCCCATCTGGCCCTGAGCTTTTCTGGGTGTGTGTGACAAAGGCTTAATCTGTCCGGACGGGCCCAGGGCGGAGAGGAGGGCGAGGGGAATTACACTCTGCCAGGGCCTCCTGCAGCTGGGGCCTGGGTGGAGGGCGGGGCGGGGCGGGGGTCGGGCAGGAGCCAGCCTGGGCGCTGGGGGGAGGCAAGTTGGTCTTCAGTTTGCAGGTTGTCACAGGAAATAGAAGTGGAGGCGGAGGGCTGAGGGCTGAGGGAGGAGGGCGGAGTCCGCCACCAGCGGGCACAGGCGCTCATGGGGATAAGATCTTTTTATGACAAGAGCCAGCCAGGGCCTCCTGACTGGGCAAAGCCTGGTTAGGATGTATTATTTCTTGCATTTGGCCTGCTCTGGCCTCCGAGGGCTGCCAAGCAGGGGGAAGCGAACCCCTTGGAGACAAGACCCTCCGATTCCGTTCCAGCATTGGCCGAAAAGTGAACCAACCCCTTTCCTTTTCCTCTGGTCTCTCAGAGTGGGGCTGTCCCTGCGGCCTACAAGGGTCGCAGGTTATGTTTGGGGCAAGCCTGGGGCCATCTCTGGGCCTCTCCTGGGACCAGAGAGCCCCAAGGCGCCTTGGAGATAGCTGTTCTCAGCCCAACTCTACCATCTTCCAGATGGGAAAACTGAGGCCTCCAGAGAGGAAGTTTCCATTGGTGGGGAGCCAGGACTGGAACACAGATCCCCCTGCTCCACTGTGGCTTCTCCGTTGGCCCACCCCGTGCCAGGATCCCCCCGTTAGCACCCCATTCCCTCAGGGGAAGTGCCAGATTGCCAAACTCCACTCTCAACACCAGGCTTTTGCGAGCTGGACCCCAGGTGTTCCGCTGGCCAAATTGACTAATGGTGGTCTTTTCCCAGTTTGCAGACAACGTTCATTTAGCAGAGAGCATTTTCACAGTCTCCAGTCTCCCCAGAGCTTTTGTGCAAACCTTTGGCACCTGCGGCCACTGGTCTGGGCGGGAAATGGCCTCTGACTTAGCACAGTGTAATATATGCTGTGACCTTCAGTTGAGTACCTCGATATTTCTTGCTTTTCTCCAAATCGTCACCACAGTGGGTCACCCTACTGTGTGCCTGTCACTGTGCCGAGGCGCCGATACACATTAATTTGTCGAATCCTCACAGCAGCCCAGAGGTCAGTGCTGTTATTACTGTTATCCTTCAGATGAGTAAACTGAGGCTTAGGGAGGTTCAGAACTTCCCTGAGGCTGCCCGCTGAGGGGCAGCCCTGAGCTTGGTGACTGCCTGTACACACCTCCATTCTGACCCAGTTTGAAAGCATAGGTCTTTTATGACAAGCTTTCAGTCCATTGCACCTTAGTCTGAATTAGTTTAGAAGCATCCCCCTGGTCAAGATATCTGTAATCGCTGGCTGGTGCTTGAGGCAGGATTGGCTCCGTGTAAGGTGTCTGGGGACCTTCTTCGGGCTCACTAGGACACGTATGGGGTGAGGAGAAGGGAGGAGGCCTCTGTTGTCTTGGGTCCTGGGGGACTTTCACAGAGAAGGCTGACAGTGATGTCTGGCACAGGCCCCATTTAGAGCTCTCGTAAGTGGCAGAAGTGGGCTATTTTGTTGATTAAGCCTCGGTGATTCGGGTGAATGTGGTCTCAGGGACTCGAGGGGGCTGTGATCCTGGAGGATCAGGCTCTGCCTTCCCAGGGCCACCCCTCACTCTCTGCTGGGGGGTAGGGATAGCCTGCCCCCTTCCTCCTTGGCTGAGACCTGACATGAACATCCT